TTCACAACAAGGGTTGACCAAAAAGGTAATTCTCCATACAATGTTACTCCATTTTCAAACAGTAAGGTAACGAGAGAAAAAAAACACTAAGTATACTAATTGGTTGATTCTAAACACAAATTCTCAATATCAAAATCATATGAAAAATAGAGCGGACATTGGGGAGAACTGACTCCTATATCTTCTAGGTTGTAAGGTTGAACAAATGGATCTATTTACTCATCACACACAAAGTACACATCCATGTATTACCTGAGAGTCACTCGTCATGAGAAATTGCCTCTTCATTTTTCTTGTAACCCATAATTTTCCAAAGTCACTCTTGAAAAATTTAAATATATATTAGAACGGAAACTCTGATAACATTTTATCGTTGTTACTTTTTAATAATTAGATGTACTCTATACCCTTTAAAATATTTCAAAATCCCCAAAAGGGTATGGTCATCTTAAATAAGTTGGCTGCTATTTACATATAAAACACTACGACACCGGTAATTGACTGCCACTTAAATAATAACGCGTTCTTTCAAAATATGCTTTAAAACGTTCTCAGAGAAAAAAACAAATGTGGATTAAACTGACTAAAAAAAAAAAATGTCTTAAATAAGGATATGAACACCAACCACTTTATATTTCCAAGATGGATTACACACTTTCTAACTCACTAAAGTGTAATTCCATAAATACTTGACCCAACGTAAAAAGAATTTAGCCGTAACCTTGTTAATTAATAAACTGAAGATTGGTTCAAAAAATAAACGTCTGTTCATTAAAACTACATTTGTAATCATTTGTAATTTGATTTGAAATCAAAGTACAACAAACTTCTATCTCTCCCAACGAGCACAACAGAAGTCAGTTGCTTTCACCCTTTCACCTCAAAGAGTGACCATCATTTAACTTTTCTTTACAATATCATCCCGGAATCAAACTATAAGGGAATAGGAGAATGGAAATAATCACCATCTAAAGAATCTATTGATTGGTCAACATATTCTCCTTATCATTATCATGGGAAATGTATAGAGAACAGTTTGGAGAATATGCACACTGATGTTAGGATGTGAAAAGTTAACGGGGCGAATTCGAATACTCCACGTGTGTCTTTCAACGAAAGAGTTAGCCCTTTAACTCCCATGAATGACCAAGACAGAATTTCTCCTTGAAATATCAGTACAATATCAACCAGATGAGTGATGACAATTAGGAAAAATATCAAATTGGGGATGATTAGTTGATCCAATATCAAATTCTCTGAACTAACATTATGAGAATTGTAGGTTAACAGTAAGGAGAATTAGAAATTTGATCTGGGAGTTAAAGGGTTCAAAACCCCACCTCATCCCCTCCCTCTTGGATCAAACATTTGTTTCCCTTATTAACAGATGCGTTGGGTCTCTCTGAGTCACAACTGGTTTCCAACATAACAGGGACAGTTGAACGGGTAATATACATAAGCCGTGGAGAAGTCCGAACGAAACAATTCCCACAAACATGCGGAAAAAAATACGATAGATCTCCGAAGTGGCAAAGACTAGCACCAGCATCCCAAGAAAGGTACTGAAACCTGTTTAAAGGATAACAAAAGTTGAAAAACGTGAGAAGCATGAGGAACAATCTAATTAGCCTAGAAGCACTAAGTAATCTGATAAATTGCTTCTCCTCATGATGAGCGAGATGCAATCGCATTAGTCAGTACGGTAGACTTTGAATGAAGGGGTTTCGGTTAGACCTTTACGAGTGTTGGTGCGCTATGTTGCAAGGCCCGCCAATCGAATATAAATGTCTGACATTGTTTCAAATTTTATACTTGAGATTCCCAGGAAATGCCACACTGATTTGGTGACGCCTTAGGATACGACCGAATAAAGGGTGCTTGTCTTGGCGCTTCAATTAATTTCCCGTCGGCGATTTAAATCGTGTTAGTGGCTTCGAGTTTAATTCACCATCGAAATGAGAGAATAAAAGAATCGCTTACCTCCCATGAAGACACTGGCACCAAGCGTGCTAACAGCGTCAATGACTCTCCTGTTAGGTGTGTCTTCCTCAGACATCACAAACGCATGCGCAATATGCGCACTGTAGTCCACGGCAAAACCAATGGCCATGACAAGAGTGATCATCGAGACGCCATTCAAAGACACGTCCCAGATGAACATCAACGCAAACAGCTCGAGGACCAGAGCCACAAAATTCACCACCACCAGAAGTGTTACGGTGAAATTGACCAGGAACAAAGATGTTACCACCAGCACAGCCAGGGCTGCTATGATGAGGTTCCTTGTGGTCTCTCTTCCAATGATGGCATACTGTTCGAAAAAGATGAATGGACGGGTGATCGGTATCACGTCGAGTGGAGATTTCTTGGCAAGATCCTCACGAATTGTCAACATGGCGTCCTTCTGAAAGGTAGAGCTTGGGTTGTTCTTCAAGAAAGCCATGACACGAGACGCAATGACGCGACTTCCGTTGGACGACAGTTTCACATCTTGTTTGAAAGATAAACATTCAGGACTTTCAAGGAACAGTTTTAGGGCAGGCATAAAATGTGGTCCAGTAATGTTCATCCCACTCGCAGCAGAGAAATTCGTAAAAACTTCAATCCAAGACACAGCCTGAGTTCGGTAATAGCAATTGTCCTTAACAATTTTCGACAGCTGCCTGATCTCGTCTTGGACATCAGGATCGCTGTAATCAATGTTACCCGTTAGGACCAAACTAACAGGAATGGTTTGTTCGTAATATTTCTCTCGAACGTTCAGAAATTTCAAAAGCGCAGAGTCATCTTTTGCCAGCATTCTTCTATCGAAATTTTCAGTCACCTTGGTCGTTCCATAAATTCCCAAGGCAAGGATTGCCACAGAAATGACAAGCACAAAAAATTTCGTTGCAGGTAACATAAGAAATTTTGCCCAACCCTTTAGTAAACGGTTCGAGGTCTGAGGGCGCGGTGCGTCCCAGTGGGGTTGACCATCTTTCGTGGGTGGTACTGTGCATACAGGCAGGCAGTCTCTTCGGCCGGATTTTATTCTTCTGATGTCAAACGTCATTGCGGCGACGAAAAAGGTTATCATCATAGCATAGGAGAGCGTAACGGCTAAGGCTGCGTAAGTGCAAAAGTATCTGAAAGAGATGGACGAAGAAATCTAGTCAGGAAGTACAGTGCAAAATAGTCCCTGCATTGCAGTTGAAATATGCAGTACTTTAAAAACAAAGATAATACAAAAAACAAGTGACAAATAAAAGACTTTTAACACTGACTCAAAGTGATCCCTTCCAGTCGGTTAGAATACAAAGGCGCGATCATATCGGAGTGGGTACCATTCCGTCGTTGTTTTCTTACTGAAAGGCTGGAAAAGGTTAAATTTCACGTGTCCTTATTAGGAAGGTACGTTCTTGCTGAGATTTGCGTTTAAGTGTATAGTATAGTGGTAAGTGCTCCAGTCGAGCCTATTACACTCCGGTTGAGAACGTCCGTCCTTGTACGTTGTCAGTCAAAATACTGGAACACAAGGACAGAAAACCATTAAATCTTACCTGATGGCGGGAAAAGCAGTTGATGTACTCACGGCAAATGCAACCAAGTCAGTCATGGTTGTCATAGTAACTGTGGCTCCTGTGCGCGACATTACTTCCTTGACAGTCCTGATCACGCCCATATCACGTGGCTGTCGATCAAGCTCATCCACTATAATGAACATATCATCGATGCCTATACTTAACACTAGGAATGGCACCACGCCTATCATGTTCACGTACGTCACACGAGACCAGGTGCCCAGACCCATTCCCGCCAAAATACCGAACGCCACTGCGAGAACTCCTACGTTTGCGAGTATCGAGTGACCGGTCAGCGGATTAACAAATTTTCCAAGCATGAAACAGGCGAATGAGATCATAATAGTAAAGGTGATCGATATCAGAGTTATATCAGCACTACTGTTTTCTTTAATAGCGTCATCTGTGCTTCTCTCTGCCTCGTAGTAAATCTCAAAACAGGAGGCAGACATAGAGGCCACTTTGTCAAGAAAGGTCTTTTCCCATTCCAGGACTTTCTTGTTGATGTCATCCTCAGGTGGGTCTCTGATCAGATATTTCAGCTGCATTGCACGTGCGCCAGTAATCGTACGATTGCTTGTCTGTTTTGTCACGTCACCGAATATCTGGGGAAAGTTTCGCAAGAAAAGCTGTCCGTCTCGCATTAGTAAACGTGTATTGTTGAATGCTGTATTGATTTCTGCTTGAATTTGTATCAACGACTTGTTGCTAAAATTTCTGTCTTGAAAAATTTGAAACGGATCAATAGTCACGCAATCATTCAAGGATCTAGCTTTCTGTCCAGAGAGAGTCAAACAAAATTCTGTAAAAGACTTCAATGTTATAATTTGACTGTGTACGTTTTGGGCCTCCGCCAGGCATTCTGGCGCAAGAATGTTAGGATTTTCTGCATGGGCTACCAAAATTACACCCGCTACACGAACCTTCAGTCGAAAAAACTTTTCAGCTCTGTTTAAGTCGTTGATGGCTCTACTATCTTGAGGAATAAAGAGTTTTTCAGTTCTGCTTTCCGTTTTCAGCCACAGGAATCCCACAGCACAGAATAAAACGAAGAAAATGCAGATCGCCATGCAAGCCACAGGGTGCCCAGCAATGTTTTCTCCAAGAAACCCAACGAGATGTTGTAACAGGCGAATAAACCGACTGCACAAAGCAGACCACTTATCGCACAGACTGCAGCGATGTTTCCTAGTGGAACGATAAAAATAAATAAAAAAGATGTGTGACCGGTTATTATTGACCAAAGCATCAGTTATGTGTTAAACGTTACTGAAATAAATAGCGTCTGTGTTAGCTTGGGGTTCAGCTCATTAAGCGGAGGGTCAGTTGGTTAAACGGAGAGTTGCGGGGGTAGTCCTGGGGTGCCCGTCGCGTAGTACTCCCCCCCCCCCCCCCCAAAAAAATTGCCCCAATGGCAATCTGGTGTGTATCCTCTGTTTGACACGGTGTGATCCCACCCCCTTCCCCCTTTGAGGAGATCACGACTACGCTCCTGGGAGAGCATAAGCACGATAGTATTGGCGAAGCGCAAAAGGAACAAGGCCTGGGGCGGGTCGAAACAAGTGAGGGGTCGGGTCACGCTACATTACGCGGATCGTCCCAAGCCTCCACTAATATAGCGCCGTTTACGATCTCGCTTCGTGTTACTGAGTAAAAACTAAAAAGTAGGCTAGTTTGTAATGATTAGTTAGTGAAAGATGCAGATCCAGGGTTGAGCCCTGGCAAGGTCACTTATTCTTAGGCTGGACACATTAGGTTACAAAGCCTGTTTCCACCCACCAGTGTGGTAAAGATGAAGGCAGCAATCAGGCCCACTGGCTCATGTGGTCAGGGTTTATCCCAGTTTCTGTGGCACGAAGCAATTAGAGACCAGGATACTGTATTTCCTCAGATAAATGCCCAGGCACTTATTTAGCATTTTAGCTAAAAAAAAGGGGAGGGAGGGCACCTATTGGAAGAAGGGCACTTAATTGGAGGGGGGTGCTTATTAAGTTTACCCAGAAAAAGCACAAAAGTGAAAAGAACTGATCACTTATAAAGGAACACTATAAGCACAAGGAAACAAAAATTAGTGGAATGGAAAAGATTCTGCTGTAGTTGACGCTTAAAAAGTTATAAAATATAATTAATAGAATTACGTTTTTCATGTATCCCCACTATTGAAGATGGTAAGGGAAGAGGGGGGCAGTTATTCAAGGGAGGGGTGCTTTTTTGAAATTATAACTTGTAGGGTGGGTGCTTATTCAGGAGAGGGCACTTATTAGAGCATGGGTGCTTGTTAGAAAAGGTACAGTACCTCTTGTACCTCTGGTAAATGATCAACAAGAACCCTCTCCTTATGAAATCTATCCACAGTCACGCAAAATGGAGGAGATAAATGACACAATTTTTTCTTGTTTAAGCCAACACTCTAGTCTAACCACTAAGAAACAGCTTAAGATTGAGGAATGTTTGACAATCAAAAGCACAATATTTGCAAATGAAAACAATTTTTTGTTTTTTAAATTGAAATTCAATGACCTATACAAGCCATAGTTGAAGGAGAGGGGGAGGGGAGGTGGGTCCAGGGATACAGGATGCGTCATCAGATCAGAAGACTTCATTGCTTCTTCAGATGATTTTTTATATTTCTTGGTAACTTTATTTTCTTAAAATTAATGTCCACATCTTCATGGAGGCTTAGTTTTTTGGTTTTTCAGCAAAGAGGCCCAAAAGCATAATGTATTTAAAGAATTATTCAAATTCTCCTGCACAGGATGCTGGCCCATGTATATCTTTCATATTTATCAAGTGAACTCATCTATACTCCTCTGAGTGATAAAAAGAGTTAAAACATGAATATACATCACTTATCCCCACAGGATCATATGCAGTTGTTGTAATGATTTAGGCTTGTAACACTTAAAAAATTCAAACGTTATATCATTCCACTTAAGCATCCCTCCAAGACCCAAGCAAAATTTAATATTTGGGTCAACTTGCCATGTCCATGGTATCATAACTCAGAATGTCATTATATTACATGGTCAGTAAAGGATTACTGAAATACAATTTCGATTTCACTTTTAACTCTCCAGCACAAATAAATGGAATAATGACTCATGGAAAGGAGATTGGAAATGTCATCACGTGAGTAACCAAGGAAATCCCCCAGGAATCTATGAAATGCTGTGATCAGGGTAGACAGGGAGACAGTCATTATATTTGCAACAATACACAAACACAGCATGTTCAACATTTGTAATATCACGTCTGAAAATAAGCGTATCCAACGTGGAAAGTTGACTATGTATTCTGAAAACTTTATGGTCTGACTAAGACAAGAAATATTTAATCAATAAGATCACCCGTTCTACAGACGAGATATTGGTGTAGGAAACTTTCAAAGAGATATTTTTCAATAAGCCCTTGAAAGAAAAATTAAAATCTTCAATAATTTATGCTGAATGAATTCAGAATACACGGTGTGTTGTCATTTCATGCGAATTTCTGTTTCGAGCTGAGTATGCACCTGGCAACCTGTCAATTGTGAACTATGCTGCTATGAATACTTAACGTATCAAAGAAAGGAACACGAATTCAGAGGTTATAGATTAAATCTAAGCTAAAAATTTAATATTTTCTCACCTTCCTTCGCTCTTTCGGTCCGTAGTTCCTTTAGCAGTGTGTATGACACCATTTTGTTCTTCCAAGAACGGCTGGTTGGCAATCGATCCGCTCATTGTACTAGACACCCGATCTATTTTTGTCTACCAAAGGAAGGAAGTGAAACAGATCGATGCGAAAGTAAAAAACCGGCAAAACCCTTGATTCTTCTAAGTAGTTTGGGTTTAGGAAAGACTGCTGCATATTTCTTTAATCCATCGAAGCTACATTCAAAAGTTGTTGACTCTTAATTTGGCATCGTTCGGTCGCTTTCACTCAGAGGAGGGGAGACAAGCTCGCTAACTTGTTATCTTTGAATCATTGCAACCCAAAACCAGCGTAATCTTTTCTATCATGGACATAGTAAGCGGAATATCTTTGGTCAAAGTTCTTCTTGATATCGGCGCGTGAACCCAAACATCTCCATCAGCTGTACAGAAATGATACACTGCCAATCGACTTAAAGTCCGCCGTCGAATGAAGCGAATCTTCTCAATGTAAATTTCTCAGACAAATTACAGTGACGTCACGTAAGCAACCCAAACTCAATCCACGTGTTAACCCCTCTATACCACAACCAAACCAAACTTCTGGTCTTTCCTCTTTCATTAAAGCGTCATTACCTCGATCTCAAAACTGACAGAGATGAAGATTCGGCGCCAAAACAGAAAGGTTGCTGGTCGGTTTATTATTAGAAAATCGCCTATCCAAATATTCTAACCGGATTAGTTTACATACGAACAATGAACTTTCAACTGTCTTTCTATGCGTTTCTATTCGTGTCTGCCTTACATTTAAACAGTATTTATACTTATTGTCGTTATCATCGTTTTCATAATCTTCATCACCATTAATTCATTTATTAAATAATTCCATTTACTTCCGGCTACGCTAAATTTGCGAATGACAACGCACCCCAAGAACGAAGACTGCTTGTTTGGAACTGCTAAAAATGTCCAATGCAGATATTTACTTTCTCGTTTATTATTTGTGTAAAACACTATCACATTTGTTTGGAAAACAAGAATGCCTGTGGAACAAAATCGCCAAGGCAAACCATTACTCAAGAGCCCCAACAAATAACAAATAAAAAAAAATGCCATAAAACCAATATATCCATCATGATCTGAAAACATTTTTTTTAAGTTCCTCTTTATTATGTTTCATCAACATCACAGCAGCTCTCTAACACAAACTTTTACTATAAAAAATAAATTTACAAAACTTTGTACAAAAACATTAACTAAAAAGACCATTTCAAAGGGAACCAGTTAGGTAAATAGTCATTTAATTTTGCTCACATAAAAATATATAATATTATGATGACTATATAATAATACATTTATTATTCAAACTTCATGATGGACACTTCCAAATTTTGTTTAAAAACTCTAGCATATAACAGACATTTCCCCTTTTATTTGAAGTTGTAGCCATCGTCAAAAGACTTAAGTAGCTACCAAATTATTGCAGCCTACCATGATCACCAATAACTGTAAGCTTAAAAATTGGTATTTCTATTAACCACACTATAAGGAAATTCAACAAAAATGTACAAAACCATTTAGCAGATACTCAATAACAATTAGGATTTCATCTACAAATTTAAGATACGCTTAGTTATTTATCTAGTTACTAAATTTAATAAGAACAGTACCATAACCAATTTCAGCACGCTAAGCTTCGAAAAGTAAGGAGATTTAATCACTGCTAGGTAACATTTTTAAAAAGCGACTCCTATTCCACCATCAGCACCAGTAATGATTAATTTACGTGTTACTTCTCTACAAAACAGAACTAATTAAAAATGACGCAGTATACGTTTACAGCAACTATTGTATGCATCAATTATCGCAAAAAATTATCGTAACAAAGGTCATGAAACAAATGCCCACATTCTGACTAAATACTTCAATGCTCACATGCATTCTTAGTAACTGCAGTACTTGGCATCTTTAAGCTGACCCAGAGAAACTAAATTTAAAAAATTTACAGTTTACTTGAGCCTTTGGCCTTGTCAGTTGTCAACTATTCTCTAATTTCTAGATTAGAAAAATTACAACTGTTCCCAGTTAAACACCTTTGCAATGTACCACAACATTGCAGTATTCTTGTGATGCAGTTCAAGAGTGAAACAGAACATTTTAAGTTCTATTACTTTCAAAATCACTCTACTTTAAATTGCATCATGCTTTACAACTATGTAAAAATATCATGCACGGACAGTACTCTACAAAAAAAAATTAAAATCAGAGGGTGGCAATGCAATTTCACTTTAAAAATGTTTTTTAAGTTTTATTACGTTTATTTGCAAAGAATCACAATTATCAAGTTCCAAATTCACTCCTTCTTTGTGCATTATAAATTTATTGATAAAAGAGGAAAATATTTGTATACTTAGATGTCTAAGTAAATTAATTTGTCATATTGATACCATCTACTATACATTTGTTGATTAAACAATTTACCTGTACAAAATGATATATACATTGTGCAGGTAAGTAAATTGTCACTGACAAATAAAATTTTAAAATTCTGTATTCAAAATCAAATAAAAGGCTGAAAATAAAAAAACACCTCTACTAGTTACTTTGTTAGGAATCATGATTTATCATGATATCACTGGAATCACTACACCTTGCATACTGTACATTTGAGTCTTAAAAAAAAAAAAAAAGAGTTTATTGCATTCATACAATTTCAACTTTAAATAGATGAACTAACATCATGCCATATTTCTCTAAAAAAAAATATTTGTGAGTGTTTGAAACAAACCAAAATGACAAGCTGCATAATCCTCAATATGATTTTCTTTAATTTTTTCTCTCTTTTTTTCTCTATGTCATAACAGAAGCCCTTCATTATCCAAAAAAGGGAGAAATCACTTATTGTTAAATATTGCAATGTTTGTTTTTTGATCAATTGTATTCACCCACTCAGCGATTCCCTCTTCGCGCATTAGAGGTTTGCAGAAGAGCTCTGGTAGATTCCTCATTTATGTAGGTATAGTGGGTGTTATTAGATTTCTTGATTACCGCAGCAGCCTGAGGCTTGTGCTGAGGACTGTCCACAATCTCTACCTCTGCATACAGAAGATCTTTTCTTTTCCTCTGTTCCATCTAAATATAATTGGCGGTAAGCAGAAGTTAAGGGGTACAAATGTACAATATAAGCCTCTAATATGTGACATCCAAGAGGTCATCTTCAACATCAACATAGACCCAGTCCCCTACCCCTTTTCCTTCCCAGGTAAAAGAATGGAAGCCTGAAAAACAGCTTCTGTTAAACCTTTGTTTAAAATGGGATCTGCTCACATAATTTAGTATGCTGCAAATTTACTGCATTGGTATTTGACTTGATACAACAATCACCACTTACTGGCATTGGTGAAGAGGCATGGCCAGGAGTCATGGTGGTGTAAACATCATCATTCTCAGCCAGAGAGGATGATGAGGAGGAGCTGCTCTTTGCACCAGAGAGCCTCCTGCTCTGCATCGCTGACATGTCCTCATAAAATTGATCATTACCATGTGGCTTGGATGATCCATCTTTATCAAGACTATAGCATCTTGTCCACTGTGATCTTGTGGGCGTCATTTCACAATATTCTAAATCGTCAGCTGCACCCCCAGATTGCCGCATGTTCCGCTGGCTCGGCAAGGACCCAACCAATGGGTTGTTATTTAAAATCCTCACAAGGGGCAGATTCTGAGGACGTGGTTGCGATTGATAGTTTATGTAACTATGCTCTGGCTTAGGCATAGCGTTTCTCTTGTACTTGCTTTGTCTATCAACAGGTGGTGCCATGTTACAGTAACTGTGGTCTTGTGATGCCTGAGTCCTTGGCTTAATAGCTCTGTTGACTTGTGGTGGTCTTTTAAGCGTGCGATCAACCATTGGTGCTGCTGTGTTTCCACCTGAATTCACCAAATGACATAAAACTTTTAAAATCAAATATTAATCAAAGTGGAATTTTTTGCAGTGCTGCATTAAGGCATAGTGTATACCCCCAATAACACATTTTTGTTTCAATGAAACAGCCAAAGAAAGTCTAATTCAAGAATAGAAAACTTCCCTCCTATAATTCATCATTTACCTTTCAATGTTCATTTACAAGTTTGTTCCCAGTTCCCATCCAATACACGAGTAGAAGTGCAACAAAATTGTCAAGACAGCCAAAAATTTTCACTTTTCAAAAATCCATACACTCCAATTTAAAAATTAAGTAGATGGTAAAAGCTAATTGATGTACATGTTGTAATTAAATTAAGCCAGGTATAGACCAATCTTTTTATTCTATACTTTCTCTGATCTTAACATCTTTACACTCATGTTCTAGAAAATGATTTGACATGATTTTGCTACATGGATTTTTTTCTTATGTGAAAGCACCACAAGGTTACCACAGGTGAATTACCAACTCTTTCCTATACAAAGGGGAGGAGTGTTCTGACATGGACTGACTAACTGTCAAAGCCTGTTGAACTGTACTTTTTTGTGCTGTCTGTCCAAGTGATTGACCTACTGACATGCACCAGAAGTTAAAATAACCTTAAATGTTTTCTTTTTTACAACTGGCTGGTGATAGGTGAATGGATTGCTCTTACCACAAAAGAAACAAAACAAATCTCCAAACCTTCTAACCCTTTAAACCCTAAAAGTGACCAGCATCTATTTTCTCCTTACAACAATACTGCCGAATCATTCATTTAAGACCAGGAGAATAGAGGAAATGATCGCCAACGAAACAAGCTCTTGATTGTTAAACAAGTTCTCCTTATAAACACCTTACGAAATTTATAAATAACAGTGAAGAGATTATCCATACTGATGTTAGGCTGTAAAAGGTTCACTTCCAGGATCTGATAATTAATTCTCCCCTCTAGCTGCTACAAATTTCCTTGCAGAGTAGTTGTGAGAATTTCTTGTTACTGGTCAAGATAACAACTTATTCCTGATAAGTTTGAGTCTTCTTATTGTATGTTTGCTGGATTGTGTATGGACATATTGGGAGAAGTTAAGTGCTAACTACTGGACAGTGCTTCTGGGAGTCAAAGAGTCAATAATAGATAACCTGCATACCTTGATTGGGGATTGCTGGCGGAGGCACATCGTAAATATCATCAGTGTATGTTGGAGGGACATCATACAACTCAGTTGGATGTGTGGGTAACACATCATAGGTAGCTTCTTGCCTAGGAGGAACATCATAATTGGAGTCTCTAGATGCTAAATTTGGTGGCCTGTCATAAATATCCTCAGAATTAAGGTCATAATCAGGAGTCTCATCACTTAGAGACCCAGAGTCTCTGTCTTTTGGAACTGGAGGTAAAGGTGCATCATACTTTTCATCCTGGTTCTCAAATTTCAAGGAACTAATGCTTGAAAATGAGGCATTCAGCCCAGAATCTGCACTGACAGGACGGTTAGTTTTTGGTAACGTGTCATAATCATTTTGAGACTGATGTGGGGATGGTATTGG